TGTGCTCGCCAGAAAGACAGAGAGAGACAGAGAGACAGAAAGTGAGAAATCACCCCCCAGGGGGGATGGCCACATCACAATCCTTTCTCCTCCATTCTTTCCTCAGGATCTTGGGCATGCACACACATGCGCCTGGCGTGAGTTTAAGCCTCCGGGTCCGGGACTCAAACCGCAGTCAACTACATGGAAGTTCAATGACATAGCCATTATGCTAACTGCTGGTCCCTTATTTATAGGACTCTTAAAAGGTGCCCTTAGAAAACTCTCAAGCTGGGGCCAGCTGGTGGTATGGTGGTTACGGCACCTGGATCCCACATGGACAACTGGGCATTTTGATTTCCTGACCCTTGGCTTGAGCAAGCGGAGCACATGTGCATGCCCAAAATCTTGAAAGGAGGAAAAGATGAAGAAGGGATTACAGCAGGACAGTCCCCTGTGAAGGGTCGGGGGTGCTTTCTCACTTTCTCTCTATCTGTCTCTATCTCTCTCTCTCTCTGGGGCACATGTGGCCATCAAGCTCAATATTTTACTTTTCTAACTAAAACAGGTTTTATTTAGTTTTGCTTTATTCTCATTATTAAGTCATAGAAAGATTATTTACTATAGAAACTAAGTGTAATATCTTCAGGTTAAAATGTACTACATAATAAATTTAGATTGTCAATTTCTCCTGTAAAATTGTCAGGGAACCCATGTGGAACAGGTATCAAAACCCTCTAAAAGGGATACCAGCAGTTAGCGTAACAGCTATGTCGCTGAACTCCCATGTAGTCGAGCACGGTTCGAGTCCTGGACTCGGTGGCTTAAACTCACACTGGGCATGTGTGCATGCATGCCCAACATCCCAAGAGGAGAATGGAGGAGAAGGGATTGCGGTGTGGCCATCCTCCCTGGGGAGTGGGGAGGGTGGGGTGATTTCTCGCTTTCTGTCTTTCTGGCGTGTGCACGTACCCTATGGCAAAAACCTCTCAAAAACGAAACCAGAAAACCTCCAAAAGGGAAATTGTTCGGTGGGCTGCGACTGCTATGGCTAAGATGATAAAACTATTTCACTTGGAGAATGAAGTCTAGTGGAGTAAGACAGAAAACAAACATGCAAACAAACTAATTTCAGATCATGATAAACTGTATGAAAAAAATGCATTAGAATAATATGATAGAACAAGACCTGGGAGTGGGGACCTTCAGCTGGGAAATTAGAAGAAATGTCTCTGAATACATATTTACACTGACACCTGGATGGTGAAAGTAGCAGCTATATGAAAATCTTAGGGAAGTGTATCCCAGGCAGAAAGCATACCAAGTTCCTGAGTCAGGAAGGAGAGTGGCATGTATGAGATGGCAAGAAGGTTGATAGTGGGACCAGCAGTTAGCATAATGGCTATGTTGTTGGACTCCCATGTAGTTGACCGTGGTTTGAGTCCCGAACCCGATGGCTTAAACTCACACTGGG